AATTCGAATTCAAATTCAAATTCGAATTCAAATTAAAAATTTAGCTTCAGATGGACTGCTGCTGGTTTAAAACTTTAAACAAGGCAGCATACCCAGCCTTCCCCTTGATAAGCCAGCAGACAGTGGATTCTGTTTTTCACCTTTCAGGTCTCGCTACTGACCCCAAAGCGGGAAATCATTGTCCCGTCTACTTTCCACCTATACTTGCCAAAATATACACCTTCCTGTCTTCACCCAAAGGATTGATAGAATTGTCCTGTTTCCAAGGGACGCTGGACCCGGTTTCCAGCACGTGCCGCTGCTCCCCACCAATAGACGTACCAGCCCACCAGCCAAGCCCTCAATCCCGGCGGTTCTCTTACCACCACCAGGATAGTGGACTTGAGAAAAGGGCTTTTCTTTCAAAAAAAAAAAAAAAAAAAAAAAGGAATGATCTAATCGTCACCGCATCCTTTTGCAAACCTGAACATTCGGACTTGGACTCGAACCCTAAACCCTAAACCCTAAACCCCCCCCATCGCTGGAACAGGTCACTGCACATTGCTGAGGTTTAGCAACATGAATATTGTTGTGCATGGTGCATGTTGACCCACAACCAGCCAGCATGGTATTGGATGTCCTAGAACAACTGGCATTTGGCTAGCTTGGACTCAATCCCCTCCCCTTGGAGACATTGAAGCCATCTGTGCTTTTGGGTGGCTCCAAACAACTGACATTTGGATAGCTTGGACTCGATCCCCTCCCTTTGGAGAAACTGAAGCCACCTGCTTTTGGACGGACTCAAACAACCGACATTTGGATAGCTTGGACTCGATCCCCTCCCCTTGGAGGCATTAAAGCCATCTTTCTTTTGGATGTCCTCAAACAACTGGCATTTGGCTAGCTTGGACTCGATCCCCTCCCTTTGGAGTCAATGGAAGCCATCTGCTTTTTTTGGACGTACTCAAACAACTGCATTTGGATAGCATGTCTTTGATCCCCTCCCCTCCCCTCCCCTCCCCTCCCCTCCCCTCCCCTTGGAGACATTAAAGCCATCTTTCTTTTGGATATACTCAAACAACTGACGTTTGGATAGCTTGGACTCGATCCCCTGCCCTTGGAGAGACATCGAAACCATCTGCTTCTGGATGTCCTCCAACCACTGACATTTTTGCACAGCTTGGACTTGAGCCCCTTCCCTTGGAGACACCAAAGCCATCTGCCTTTGGATGTCCTCAATCGCAACTGACGAACCCAGTATAGGATATTCATGGACATGTACTGTGTTGCGGTGGGTTGTGGTGACAGGACGCAACCCTGGTGCAAGCCCAAATCAACTCCTTCGCATAACTTTGTGCCCATCGGTGAAACAACCCAAATGTCTCTTTGTACTCCCAAGCAAGTGCATAACAATATAAGACATTACTCATGCCAGTGAGAATTGGTTCACCATCTTGGTCCAAAAAAGCTACCCCCTCAACAAAGAGGTCAGGATCGGCACACTTAACGGCTTACCAAGTCTGACTTATGTGTCTCGTCACAATGTCATTTTCTTTTTTTGTTTCTTTTTTTGTTTCTTTTTTGGTTCTTTTTTTTGGTTCTTTTTTTTGGTTCTTTTTTTTATTCTTTTTTTCTTTTCTTTTCTTGTTTTGTTTGAGCCCCGTTCTATTGGTAGGGAGCAAAAACCTGCTGGAAAACGGGTCCAGCATCCGTTCACGAAAAGATTACCCGCCCACACTTAACGCTTCCCCGCGTTACGGCCCAGGGAAGCCTGACATCAACCTGGATGCACGGAATTTCTTTCAAACGTTCTTTAGACGATCCGCTTACCCGAACTCTTTTTTTTTTGTCTCTGGCCATTGATCTTCACAGTCGATGGCCGGATATTAAAAATATGGGTCGGTGGGACATTGGCTCTGCTCTCTGGCCATTGATCGTCATAATCAATGATCAGATATGTCGAATCTGGGTCACTGGGACCTTGTCTCTGCTCTCTGGCGATCGCCACTGATGATGGATCAGCGATGAAGGTCCAATTAACAGACGCCTCCGTGGCAATCTGAAAATCGTTTTTCTTTTTTCTTTCTTTTTTTTTCTTTTTTCTTTTTCCTTTTTTCTTTTTTCTTTTTTTTTTCTTTTTTCTTTTTTCTCTTTCTCTCATGTTTGTGGGAGGAAATTCTGAAAATCATAACTACGGGAAACAAAAAGAACTGAAGAAATCTTCACAGCAGGACAGAACTAATCTACTGATCATCAATTTTTTTTTTATTATTTGTTACGATCCTGGTCATTTCCTAAGTGCAAATTCACAATGAAAGACAATGCCACCCAATTGCGAAAGAAATGAAAGCACTTGCAAAGAGATAAAGACCAGAGGAGAGGTAAAGAAGAAGAAGAAGAAGAAGAAGAAGTACACCAGCAAGACCAATGACAATTCCCCCTTCTCTCTCCACCTTCCTCCTTCCTCCTTCTCTTCACCAATCTTATTCTTCTCTCAATAATAATAATAACAATGAATGGATGAACCAGAATCAACTGCAAGGTCTGATGATCAGATTGTGTCTGAATCCACTGCAAGGTCTGATGATCAGAGTAGACCTTGAAGTGGCGACCCAAGAGGTAGTGTTTCCAATGTGCGAGGGCTTCGCGCAGGGCGTAAAGCTCACGCATATATGTGGAAGTCGCTACCTTATGGTTGGGCATGCGTTTGCTGTAGTACTCGAGCGGACGCAGGCCATCACCATCATCTTGCTGCAGCACAACACCAATCCCGAACTGGCTCGCATCCGTAGTGACTACGAAAGTGAGGTTGGGATCGGCAATGCGAAGCACCAGATGACTCACCAATGCCTCTTTCAAGGCTTGGAACGCAGTCTCACACTTCTCACACCATGCATAGGCAACATTCTTGCTGGTTAGTCTTGAGAGAGGGTGAGCAATGACGGAGAATTTGGGCACMAACTTCCGGTAATATGAGGCCAGACCAAGGAAAGAACGCAGTTCGCGTACGTTTSCCGGTTGAGGCCAATTTCRGATGACCTCAACCTTGGTTGCCTCTGGCTCAASGCCGTTTGCCGACAACCGATGCCCAAGATAGATGACGCTGCCCCTCCCRAACTCAGATTTCTCCAAGTTGAGGTGCAGCTGCGCCTCCTTGAGAACCTGCAAAACTTCCTCAAGGTGCTTGAGGTGCTCCTCCATGGTTTTGCTGAAGATCAAGATATCATCAAGATACACAACCACAAACCTGTTGAGTTGATGGCGAAGTACCTCGTCCATGAGGCATTGAAAGGTGGTCGGTGCATTCGTAAGACCGAAGGGCATAACGATGAACTCGTACAGCCCATCGCGTGTCTTGAATGCAGTCTTGTGCTGGTCACTCGGATCAACTTCAATCTGGTGGTAACCAGATTTGAGGTCGATCTTGGAGAAGACCTTGCATCCACCTGCCGCATCTAGCAGATCATCTATGCGAGGCAAAGGGTAAGCATTCTTTCTTGTGATCCGATTGAGGCCACGATAATCAATACACATCCGGAGTTTGCCTCCTTTCTTTGGTACAAACAAAACAGGTGCGCCAAACTCAGACTCGCTAGGCCTAATCCATCCACGATCAATCATGTAATCGATTTGTCTCCGCAACTCTTCCAACTCGCCTTGTCCCATACTAGAGACGCAGCCCTTTGGAGGAACACTCCCTTCTACTATCTCGATCTTGTGTTTGACTAGACGCTCGGGTACTCCGCGAGGTTCAGCCAAAACTTCAGGAAATCGATCTAATAGAAGCCGAATGTTCGCTGGGATTTCCGGTGGCGGATCATCCTCGTCAGGGGAGAGAAAATNATCGAGAATTTACAGCAATCACAACCAGTTTCGAAGTATTTGGATCAGAAATAGATTGATCATTTACAGTAGAAGAAGTAGAGGTAGAGTTACCTTCAGAGGTAGAAAATGCAGCAAAAGTAGAAGGCACATGGAGAGGCTTTACAAGAGCAATATGTACAARCTCAGCTTCCTTGCGCCTGCGCACTGACCTGCAGAATTTGTTAGCACTGAGAAGGGTCACAGGGGACTCGCGCGTCTCATCTAACAAAACGGTACGCTCGTTCCCCTTGGCGTCAAGTACCACGAACTGGTTGTCCGCCCACGTGGTCCTTAGGCAATGAGCCTTCAGCCAGCCCAAGCCAATGACCGCGTCGAAAGGACACTTGTCCGGAACGTAAAAATTCAACTCATGTGTGACAGTGCGATCTTTGTCAAAGGTGATGCGCACACCTTTGACAGCATGAGTGGAAGTGACAACCTCTTGGTTGCCCACCTGAGTCCGGCAAGGGTTCTGCRGTTCCACTTGCTTCATACCCAGGCCCGCCTTACGAATCCCRTTCGGAGAGAAKAAATTAGTGGTCGAACCACTGTCAATCAGCACACGGATGTATCGGCGGTTAATGAGTAGTTTAAAGAAAGTCAGCTCCACGCTCCCTTGAACACGGCGTTGCTGCTTGAGGTTCAGCCAATGCTCCATGTGGGCGTGGAGGTCGACCTCTTTAGACTCCTCCCAAGGCTCAGTGTATAACACTTGGACTGCATCAGCCTTGGATTCGGCATTAGTTTGGGCTTCAAGAGCATGCTGCTGATCAGATCCAGGCTCCTCGGAAGGGCCTGCAACTGACTGCCCAACTTCCCTTGCTGTAGGGAGTGYTGATGACTCCTCTACGCCCCTTGCCTGTTTCCCTGAAGACGATAGCAATCCTGCACAGCATGCCCAGGCTTTGAACAATGCAAGCATACGCGCAGTTTGGACCTTCTTTCCCACTCTTTTTGGCTGATGCGGAGGGCTTCCCAAGGCTTGGTAGAAGCGTCCTCCGGTTTCTCAGGGATTTTAGCATTTTTGGGAAGGTGTAAGACAGTTCCCTTACCTGAACCACGGTTAGGCCCCTTATTTAAAGWAGTCTTTCTGAATGCATTAAGTTTCTCATCATCATTTCTGTCACACTCAATGGCTGATGTGGAACAGCCCATATCGGAGTCCGGCTCTAGATCGTCATCTCGAGACAGATCATCCGCATAGGACTGATCGTCAACCTCCCGATGTTCATGCAGTGCAAGCTGGTTGCTCCTTTCAAACCGCTTGCGTTGTGGTTTCCCACCTGCAGCGGGCGCCTTCTAGCGCTTGGCGAGRTCCTTGGCCTCTAGGTSGACTAGGTCCTTCATGAGCTCTCGCCAGGTGGCATGGTCCTTGAGTGCTAGCAGGGAGAGGTATTCTTTAGAGGCCACTCCCATGACTACATCCATACAAGATACGTCAGCCATTCCCAGATCCGGAGTGGTGAACAGACCAGTCAAGTGTTGTTCCAAAGCCTGCATGGATGACCTCCATGCTTGGCCCTTGAGGGCCTCAAGCTTCAGCCTAGCCTTGAGCGCATCATGTTTATCTCGGTACCGGTCAAGGAGAAGATCCTCAAGGGCGCGGATAGGGGTGACCTTCAGCCAATCAGTCAGGTCTATGCGTTCATAGCCTGCTGCGACAGCTTGGAGCTCAATGTGGTTTCGTACGGCGGGCTCAGTATTAGTCCCCATAATCATACTTCGATCCTCTTGCGGTGTCCGCATGACCTCGAAGTACGACCGCATGGAACTAATCCAAGAGGTGATGTCTGCCTTCCCGTCGTACTTGGACGGCAGCGTGACCGCCCGCTTGTCCACCATGGGACCGCTGTACTGAACGCCAGTGAGGACTGTGGCGTTTTGGGTTGAGGTCCCTGCATTCGGGACCGTGACCAGCGCAGAACTGTCGGGGCTGCCGCTCGAGGAGCTGGCACCGGTTCCTGCGCTTGCCACAGTTCCGTTTGCCCTTGGCACGAGGGTTGTGTTGGCTTGAGAGGTTGGGATTATAGCAGACCGAGGGTTAGGAGGGCGGGAGGCAGACAGCTGGGTCTGTTCAAGGCTAATTACTTTAGCCTGCAACTTTTCATTCCACTGCTCAAGTGCTGTCATACGAGACTCAAGGTTTTCCAAGGTCCGCAGTCGGACCAGGGCTGCTACAGCAGCAGCTAGTTCCTGCTGAAACCGGTCAGCATTGGCTTCCGGGATCCGAAGGAGAGCCACCTGATCAGCAATGTCGGCGGCTCTAGCTGCTGCCGCTGCCTCCCTTTCCCTCTGCACGGCATCATCATATAGTTTTTGAAAGAATGGTTTCTGGCTCTCGTCTGCTGCGTCCAGCATGGCCTGCCATTGGTCAGATGTGTGACCGCCATGCTGGAGGAAGGGGTGTCAGTAGAACTCTCAAGAGGGGTCCGCTCTCTCCTTGCGTTTGGACAAACACTCCTCTTACCCCTTCTCACACTCTCAAACAGCACACCTTCTCTCTCCCTTTCCTCTCTTTTCGCTGTCTGCGCACGCGTCTTGATACTGGACATAGATAGTTCAGATAAAAGAAACAAACAGAAAACCACTCAGAGAAGAAAGTAGAACTCCTGGCCGGAGCAGCGAATCATTTGGACTTAGAGTGTGGCACGCAGCAGAAGAATAAATAAAATAAATAAATAAATAAATAAAACAGCAAAGAGGTATGATTTATAGAACGGGCCCGATCA